GGTACCTGAACCAATTTCTGTTTTTATTGCATTATGGCCTATAGAGGATATAGTAGCTATTTTTTTTTCTTTTTATACTTGTTTGCAATATATCTGTGCCCTAGCATATGGTCATTTTTTGTAAAAGTTCCATGTGGTACAAAGAAATAGTTACATTCTTTTGCTGTCCCATTTAGAAGATGTTATAAGTCTTTTAACTCTAGTTTCTTCAGAAATTTTATCAATTCCATATTTTCCCTTTTGTTTAATTTGCTGTTAGACTTGTCAAAAATGGACAGAGGGATATTAAAGTCTTCTATCATTATTGTGTTACTATGTCTTCTTGAAGCTTAGATTTTTTTTTTAAAGAATTTGTATGCTAAATTTTAAATGCTAAAGCATTTAAAGGATATACATTTATTATTGATATTGGATTACTGTCTGTGGTTCCTTTAGACATATTATAGTTTCCTTGTTATCCCAGCTTATTATTTTTTTTAATGTTTGTTTTTGCTTTGTTGATAGCATGATTGCCACTCCTACATTTTTGGGTTCACTTGATGCACAGTAATTTTTCCCCATGCTCTCAGTTTTATATTGTTTATGTCATTGTTTTTTAGATGTATCTCTTGTAAGCAACAGATTTTAGGGTTCTATTTTCTTATGCAGTCTGCCTCTTTCATTTTATTGGGTTATTTGATCCATTCACATTTAAAGTTATAAGATTTAGGTTTATATTTTCCTCCATCTGTGTCTAAAATTTTTTTCAAGTTATGCTTGAAACACAATATTTTATGTTCCTTTAGTTACTTTTATTTTGCTCTTTTTTTTTAAGGTGGCCCTGTTCCCATTGGCTCTGTTCTCCTCATCCCTGATACCTTCTTGTTTGTTACTCTTTTCCCTTTAGGACTTTGTTTATTAATTCCTTTTTATCTGATTATATATTTCTTCCCTAGCTAGTCCTGTTCATTAGGTTTTTTTTCTTTCTGTTTACCCTAGACCCTCATTTTCTGATTCATGACCCCTCTAATCACCTGTTCTCTTGCTTTCTTTTCTCTGTTTTCCTCATGTGATCAAAACTTCCAAGATATCCATTCTAGGCTCTTCTCTCTAGGTACTTTCAGCCACGGCCTTATAGGGCTTAACTCATGGATTCCCCTTTTCCATTGTGCCTCACTTCCAGAACAATGCCAATTATTTCAAGTGTCAGAAAGGATATTGACCCATGGTAAGGCCCTTCCCCCAATACTGATCTATAATCTCTTTTGTTGTCCTTTTTTTCTATATTTGCCTAGAAATCTTCCTGCGTCCATGCTCTTCCACTCCTTCAGGTGCCAACTGTTCCCAAGAGTTCCAACTCCTCCCCTCTCAGGACAAGTAGACTTTTCAAGTATCAAATCCTTTTCGCCCATAGGAGCTTTCATCAATGGAACCCCCTCCCATCTCCAAAGTAAGACCTCTTTTCTTTCCCCCACTTCTTCATTCACTCCCCTGATGGCTCTTCTCCTTCTCAGACATCAGAGGTCACCTTCCCCTCTTGCTAACTCTTAATTTGACCCAGGGGCATCAGTCACTCCTTTCTATCTGCCTGCTCACCCCACCTCTTTAAGTATCCTCCCATATTGTAATATAGTCCCACAAAAAAACATTGATTCACTTGTAGGCAAGGTTTTGCCAGGTTCCGTCCATGATACCCTCTGTCCACTCTTCACTGTTACCGCTACCATATTTCCACTTTCATATCTGTGTCCTTGTTAGAAAGAAGTGTTGGTGTATTAGAAGGCAGAGCCAAGATGGCAGAGTAAAGGCAAATCCCTCCAAATACCTTTAAATAATGACTAAACAAATTCTAGAGCAACAGAACCCACAAAAAGACAGAGCGAAGCAATTTTCTAGTCCAGGACAACTTAGAAGGTTGGTAGAAAAGGTCTATTGCACCAGGGTGAGAGAAGAGCACAGTCCAACTCAGGCTGTGCCAGCACAGCCTGGGCCCCAGCAAACCAGGAGCAGGCCTTGGGAGCCACTGAATCAATAGCAGTGTTGGCTGCTTTCAGAGCTCCTAGCCCACAGACAGTAAGGGAGTTGAACAGCTAGTCAGAAGATTACAGGGGTCTCTTTGCTGGAACTGAGGGCAGGACTCTGTTGCTTTGCCCATACTTGAATCTGAGTTGCAGTCCTGGGTGGCAGTCCCAGGTTGAGGAGATGTACTAGCACATCAGAACTTGTGGCCTTGTGGAGTAGGGACCTTCCTCATAGTTCCAGGCCAGAAAAGAGTGCTTGTGGTCACTCACAGACAAGAGCACAGGCCAGGAGAGTAGTAAATACATCTCCTTAGATCATACCACCTTGGAAAAACTGAAAAGTTACAGGTACCTAGAAGTATTTCTGAAAACAGCTGCACAAAACCCCTGAAGCTTGAGACAGTGTGCCCTCCACCTGGAAGCAGAGCCCTACTTTAACAAAGAGTTTAAAGTCAAGTAATAGGCTGAGAAAATGAGCAAATGATAAAAAAAAAAATTCTGACCGTAAAAAGTTACTATGGTGACAAGCTCAAAACACACACTCAGAAGAAGATAACAAAGTCAAAGCTCTTACATCCAAAGCCTCCAAAAAAATATGAATTGGTCTCAGGCTGTGGAGGAGCTTGAAAAAGATTTTGGAAATCAAGTAAGAGAGGTAGAAGAAAAATTGGGAAGAGAAATAAGAGTGATGTGAGAAAAGTATGAAAAATGAGTTAACAGCTTGGTAAAAGGAGGCACCAAAAAAAAAATACTGAAGAAAATAACACCTTGAAAAAACAGGCCAAATGGTAAAAGAGGTACAAAAATTCACTGAAGATAAAAAAACTCCTTAAAAAGTAGAATTGGCAGGGGCAGCTAGGTGGTGCGGTGGACAGAGCACCGACCCTGAAGTCAGGAGAACCTGAGTTCATATCTGGCTTCAGACAGGTAATACTCACTAGCTGTATGACTCTGAGCAAGTCACTTAACCCCAATTGCCTCACCAAGAAAAAAAAAAGTAGAATTGGCCAAATGGAAAAGGAGGTATAAAAACTCACTGATGAAAATGATTCCTTAAAAATTAGAACTGAGCAAATGGAAGCTAATGACTTTATGAGAAATCAAGAAACAATAAAACAAAACTAAAAGAATGAAAAAATAGAAGACAGTGTGAAATATCTCATTGGAAAAACAACTGACCTGGAAAATAGGTCCAGGAGAGATAATTTAAAAATTATTTAGACTACCTGAAAGCCATGATCAAAAAAAAGAGCCTAGAAATCATCTTTCAAAAAATTATCAAGGAAAACTGCCCAGATGTTCTAAAACCAGAGGGTAAAATAGAAATTGAAAGAATATACTGATCACCTCCTGAAAACAATACCAAAATGAAAACTCTGAGGAACAGCCAAATTCCAGAGCTCCCAGGTCAAGAAGAAAATATTGCAAGCAGCCAGAAAGAAACAATTCAAGTATTGTGGAGCCACAGTCAAGATAACACAAGATTTAGCATCTTCTACATTAAAGGATCAGAGGACTTAGAATATGATATTCTGGAGGTCAAAAGAGCTAGGATTACAACCAAGAATCACCTACTTAGCAAAACTGAGTATAATCCTTCAGGGGAAAAAAATGGATATTCAATGAAATGGAGGATTTTCACACATTCTTGATGAAAAGACCAGAGCTGAATAGAAAATTTCATATACTTTCAAATTGACTTTCAAATACACGATGCAAAAGAAGCATAAAAAGGTAAACAGGAAAAAGAAATCATAATGGTCTTAATAGGATTAAACTGTTTACATTCCTGCATGGGAAGATGATACTAAGACTTTCTCATTATTAGGTTGGTTAGAAGGAGTTTATATAGACGGAGGGCACAGGTGTAAATTGAATGTGTTATCTAAAAAAATAAAATTAAGGAGTGAGAGAAGAATGTACTTGGAGAAAAGGAAAGGGAGAGGTAGAATGTAGTAAATAATTTCACATAAAAGAGGCACGAAAAAGCTTTTACAATGGAGAGGAAGAGGAGGGAGGTGAGGGGGAGTGAATGAACCTTACTCTCATCAGAATTGGCTCAAAGAGGGAATAACATACACACTCAGTAGGATATAGAAATCTCTCTTACCCTACAGGAAAGTAGGAGGGGAATGGGATAAGAGAAAGGGTTGTGGTATTCCAAGGTCTCTTTTGGATCTGATATTCTTTGAGGTCACATATTTCTCATATACTTTTTCTGTATTTTCTTCTAGCCCTAAGAATTTATGGTTGCACTTTAATGCCAACTCAGTGTCCTACTAATGGTGGAGCAGTCTCATCAACTGAAATCTTAGCTGTCCTTCAAGGCCTACCTCAATTGTCACCTTCACCAGAAAACCTTCCCCCCCTATAGACAGCTAGGTGGCTCAGTAGATAGAGCACTGAGCCTGAAGTCAGGAAGACTTAAATTCAAATGTGGTCTCAGAGACTTATTAGTTGTGTAACCTTGGACAAGTCATTTAACCTGTGTCTCAGTTTCTTCCATTTCTTAACTGTAAAATGGGGGTAATAATAGCACCTACCTTAAAGGATTGTTTTAAAGATCAAGTAAAATAATATTTGTAAAGTGCTTAGCACAGTGCCTGACACTGTCGATATTTATTCCCTCTCTCCCTGATGGTTCTTCATCTGATAGCTGTTACTAGAATAGTAGCATCCTGGAGCTGGAAGGTACACTAAAACAGAGATCTCAGAGCTGAGAGGATTAGCTCCTAAGAGATTATCTAGTTTCATCCAGTCTTTTTAAAGATAACTAAGACAAGTTAGGATCAGAGTGAAGTGAGTTGCCTCAGGTCTCACAGTGAGTTTCGCAGATTGAACACTTGAACCCAGGCCTCCTGACTCCACAGCCCAGGCTCCCACCATAATACCAGATTGCCTCTCTTTAGTTCTGAGGCTACCTAGGATAGCCTTTGTTTTGTTTTTCTTCCCTCACTCCCCTTGTTTCTGTTTTAATTGTTCTTTATTATTTGTGGACAGGTTTACGTGGAGCAATTCCTTATGCCCTGAGTCTTCATTTGGACCTGGAACCCATAGAGAAAAGGCAGCTCATTGGGACAACTACCATAATCATTGTGCTCTTCACCATCCTGCTGCTTGGAGGAGGGACGATGCCCCTTATTAGACTGATTGACATTGAAGATTCAAAAGCTCGAAAAAGAAATAAGAAGGATATCAATCTCAGTAAAACAGAAAAAATGGTTTGTATTGAGAGTGTAAATGGAATCACTTGAGGAATATTGTTTCACTGTACAAACTACTTCTAATTATGATTTCTGCTATTCCAGGCTAGCTTTATATTACAACTTGGATTTATATATTGATTTATAACTGACAAAGCACTTTTTTTAGCTTTTAGAAATGACTTTTTAGTAAGAATAGTAAGAACGGTTGGTACAAATATTCCTCCAAAAGTCTGGGACATACTTTCCCACAAACATATCAAGACTGACAAAGTATTTTACATAAATTATTTCATTTGATCCTCACCAAACCTGTGAGGCAGCCAGGGTAGGCATTATTATCACCATGTTACAGATGAAGAAACTGAGACTCAAAGTGGGATCACCTTACCCAGGGTGCTACAACTGAAATGTGGTAAATATTCTCTTTTGACTACATGATGCTGCCTTTCTGCATGATGTCCTTTTAATTAGGAAATCTAAAGAAGAGAGTATCTACCCCCTTTTATAACATTGTCAGCCCTGAGAATGAAGTGGACTATGGCTGTTGCTCATGGATTTCTTCTGGCCTCGTAACTTGGGACAGGGCAATTGGATTATATCTGCTTCAAGGCTCATTTTGTTTAGTTACATTTTTGTTTTGCCATCTTTAGTTACAGAAAAGTTTCCCTTATACTGACACCAGGCCTCTATACAATCAATGTTGTCAGTAGTAGTGACTATTCTTCTTGTGCAGCAGTAATATACAGTTGTTTTAAAAAATAATAATAATGCCTAACATTTATATGTTGGCAGCTAGGGAGACAGCCAGGTGGTGAAATGGATAGAGGTTGGGCTTTGAGAAAGGAAGACCTGAGTTCAAATCTAGCCTCAGATACTTAGTAGCTATGTGACCTTGGGCAAGTCACTTAAACTCTGTTTGCCCCTCTGGAGAAGAGAATGGCAAATCACTCCAGTTATCTTTGTCAAGAAAGACCCATGGACATGTCCATGGGGTCACAAAGACTCAGACACAGTCGAAATAGCTGAAGAACAACATTTATATAGTTCTTACCATGTGCTAGTCACTGTGCTAGGCACTTTATAATTACTAACTCCTTTTTTTCTCACAATAACCTTGGGAGGTAGGTGGTATTATCACCTCCATTTTACAGATGAAGAAACTGAGGCTTAAGTAAGGTTAAGCAACTTGCCCAGGGTTACACAGCTAATAAGTACCTGAAGCCAGATTTGAACTCGGGTCTTGTCTCCAGGCCTGGCACTCTACCTACTATGCCACCTAATAAGACCTGGATCTCATCAGTATAAAGAGATCCAGTGAGGAGCTCCTCCTGCCGGTGCAGATAAGCACCTCTTCCACAGCTTCTAGTTTGAGAGATTTTTAGGGGTGCGGAGGTGTTAAATTACTTGCCTGGGGGATCACAAAGTCAGAGGAGAGAACCTGAGGCCAGCTTGCTCTCCATTATATTCCATTATCTCTCTATAATCGTCTGTAGCACTGTGAAAACAGAAGTCCTAGTTTTTGTCTGTAAGATCTGAATCTACTATAGTGGTTTATTATTCTTCCCATGTACACGTGCTCTATTTAGGTTTTTTGCTTTTCTTTTTTATTAATTTTTTTAAAATATTTTTAACATTCATTTTTAAATTTTGGTTCCAAATTCTCACCCTCCATCCAGCTCCTCCTTTATCACTGAGAAAGCAAGCAGAATGATACTCATTATCCATGTGCAGTCATGCAAAACATATTTCCATATTTGCCATGTTGCAAAAAAAAAAAACCAAGAAAAATAAAATGGTAAACAATATGCTTCAATCTGCACTCGGAGTTCATCGGTTCTCTGCAGAGGTGGATAGGATTTTCTAATCATGAACCCTTTGAACTGTCTTGGATCATTGTCATGATCAGAGAGTAGCCAAGTCTTTCACAGTTGATCATTGTTACAATATTGCTGTTACTGTGTACAATAATCTCCTGCTTCTGCTCACTTCCCTTTCTGTCAGTTCTTCCCAGAGTTTCCTGAAACCATCACCTTCATCATTTGTTCTAGTACAATGGTATTCCATCACAATCACATACTACAGCTTGTTCCACCATTTCTCAACTGATGAGTATCCCCTCAGTTTCCTGTTCTTTGCCACCACAAAAAGAGCTTAGCAATTTACTATGAAGCAGGGTTCTTAACCTTGTGTTTGTCACGTACCCCTTTGGACACCCTGGTTGAAGCCTGTGGACCTCTTTTTTAGGATGTTTTATTTCCTACATTCATAATTAGAGGAAATGCTAAGTTTTAGTTAGAGATTAGTAAAAATAAAGATGTAATTTTTTTTTTCCATCCAAGTTCACAGACTCCCTGAAATCTCTCGACAGACTCTTTGGGGATCTATGGACTCCAGGTTCAGAGCCCCTATTTTAAGAGTTTTCACTTCTTTGACAGTGGTTTGGATTTCCCTCTTCCTCACATAGGTAATGAATGAGGGCTGTTATATTCATCTCTGTCTAGCTCCTGCTGAGCATTTTGAGGGGTTTAGTAAGACTTGTTCAGCAAACATCTTCATCTAGAACTTAGTTATGGATCCTAGCTGGACACAAACTATTATTTGTGTATCACCTGCTCTTGCAACAGCTGGGCTCATTACTCCATTGGTTGCTTAACATAGAAATAATGTATGTTCTCCAGGCTGATGGAGATGGGAAGAACTGTTGCTTTTCAAGTATGCAGGGAATTTCTGGTAACAGTCTTGCTACCTTTTTTCTAGGGTAACACCATTGAGTCTGAACATCTTTCAGAGCTCACAGAAGAAGAGTATGAAGCCCATTACATCAAGCGCCAGGATCTCAAGGGTTTTATGTGGTTTGATGCAAAGTATCTGAATCCTTTTCTCACACGGAGGCTGACCCAGGAGGTAGGTTCCAGTGCTGTCTTGTTTGTGAGTAACTCAGCTGTAAGTGCTGTGCCAGAATTCCCCTTAGGCATGCAGTTGTCCCACGTGGACTATCTCAGCGTTAAGATGCAGTTGGAGGCTGTTCAGGTACACTGTTTATATTTGAATTTTAGAAAACAAGCAACTTTCATTTTGTTTTTTCTCTTAATGAACTTGTAGGATTGGAAGCTATGGTGTGAAATACTTGTTGAATTTAGCATCTGCTGTTTTTCTCTAACTTCTGTATTTACTAGGCTAATAATAGACAATCTTACTATGCTAACGTAGTTTGATTTTGGTTTATGAAAAATGTAGAGAATTGATTTTTTAAATCTGAGCTCTGGAGAGGTATATAAAATATAACGGTTGTGCAGGAATCTGACAATGGATTGACTCAGAGCTTTCACCCCCATAGTTCCTTTACCACTTGCTACTGATAATGCGAAGTATAGTAAAATTCCTTCTGCTTTCAGACAAACTTCAAACTGGTTTGCTGTAAACTTTGGCCTGGCTTTCAAATACAGACTTGATATGTTTCAGTATGGTATAGGCATACCATATCTAACATTACTCCAACTAATCTCATTTTATAGTGTCTTTAATATAATACATCATACCCAAACCCCATTGCATTGTTTCCTCATTCATTGTAGTGATGATGGGCCAGTACTGAGGCAAAAATTGGACAGTTGGTAATGATCAAAATTACCATTTGAGTCTCAACATAGTAGCATTTGCCTTGAGTCAGTGTGAATCTGTCCACATGAGCTAGTTTTGGACATTCTTACTGGCCTACAGTCACCATACTGCTTTGCTGTATGTGCATAAACATACCTATATATGGCTATTTCCCCTAATACTGTGTTTTCATAAAACCAGCTAATTAATCAATAAACATTTATTAAGCACCTACCATGTACCAGGCACTGTGCTAAGCTGATTTTAGGTAGGATGTGTGTATAAATTTTCCTGTTGTTTACCTTGAATTCTGTAGGTCCTATTTTAATTCTGAACAGTGCCGTGTCATCTTCTGTCACAAACATGAGGAAATATATGGCCACTTACAGTCACTATTTGCAAGCACTGAAAAATGTTTTATTTGCTGCATTTATTTTGATCCATGAGTACAAACCTGCTATGATAGCAGTTCTGTTGTTTTCCACCTCAGGACTTGCATCATGGCCGAATTCAGATGAAAACTCTTACCAACAAATGGTATGAAGAAGTGAGACAGGGACCATCCGGCTCAGAGGATGATGAGCAGGAGCTGCTCTAATACAGAAGAGGCTCGAGGACAATTACCAATGAGATCACCATCATTGAGATTTTTAGTCATGTACAAGGTCTGATGCTAAAAACTATAAGAAACCTTGAAGCTTATGCCTCCCCGGAGGCAGCCCTGTATGTAAGTATGCTGCACATACAGATACTGTTAAGTATGACCTCCTCAGATGAACTAGTTTTGTTTATAATTGCTGTGGTAATTAAGAACAACTAAGTGGCTTAAAAACAACGAATGATGGATTTTAACCTAGAATTTCTCAGACCTTCTAGCCAAGATGGTTGCTTTGAAATATGTGTTCTTTCCTCTTTATTTTCCTTTTTAGATGTCTGCCACAAATGTCTTATATTAATACGTACTTGTTTGACAACTCAAAAAGATAGAGTGAGTAGCACATTCTCTGTAGAATTTTTCATTATCGGTTCCCAGTTGGGAGCTGTCACAGGTCAAGCTGTGAATTGTGTGGCTTTTTGTAAAGGGGAATCTGTCATTTTTGACCCTATACATTAGAAGGGACCAGCAAACAATGGTAGGACTAGGTAATAGTGTGTGGGGATGCCTTTTAATTGGTCTCAGCCTTTCCTAGGCAAGTGTTTTCATTGTGCTATCATAAGCAGGCATGCTGAGGTTGGCAAGCACAGTCTTAATATGAGCAAACATCTGCATATGTAGGACTGGAAGCCAGCTGTGGCTTGGACAACCTCCCCCTCAAAACAACAACCAAACCCATAATCACAAAATATTAAGGTATTCCAGTCCACACAAAGAGCAGTTTTATTGGAAATGACAAAGCACAAATATATTACCTTTGATGCCTCCTATTTTTTTTCAGCACTCCAAAGAAATAAAAATTGATGATGTCTTTTTTATTTAACATATTGACATCATGTGCAGAATCTTAGCGTAAAAGGCAGCTAGTTTCCCCAGGGAATATTATGAATGTTTACATTTGAATCCTTAGCCAGATGCAAGTCCCATTTCTTCAAATGTGACTAGGAGGTTTGCCTCTCCTAAATGTTACACTGCTCATAGTTGAAATTCTAATTCTCACCTCTAAAAAATGCCAAATGTACAGATTTATTTTGGTTGGCCAACATCTATGTTTTGATATATGTATACTTTTAAAAAGCAGAAAGAACCTTCCAGTCACCATATCTGATTCTGACACAGGAGATATGCTAGAGGGCAGTTCCCTGGTCGTTTTGCCTGGTGTAGCCTGGTAGCCACAGTGTTGTTGAATTCACCACTTCTATACCACATTTCTCTTAATTCCTCCTGTTCCTTGCTATCCAAACTTCCCGCTCATGTTCCTTAGCTCACCAAAGCACTCTTACCTGCCTTATCACCACCTGGATTAGCAAGGCAACTGCAAAGCCTCTTCACTGTCATGCCATTGTACTTGTTGCTATTCCCACCATCCCCTTTAACCAGCACAGCTGTCTTCAGCAGCACCTTTCTTATCTTAATCATTTTTATTACCTTCATCATCTGGTGAATGAAAGTAACACCAAGAATTACCCTATTTCCCCTAGAAAAGCTTATTTAAACAATACAAATCTTTATCTAAATCCCAGGGTTACTGCTCTGATAACCTTGAGATCTCCTTAAGAAGGACCTGAAAGTCTTTTCTAGCCTGTTGGGACAATTCTGTTCCTTTTTCTTCCTGCCACCTGTGTGGCCAGTCATGACTTGAACAAATATCTGTCTATACATACAGGTCCTAGGCATTACCTCATCTCTTCCAGTCCTTCCACTCCAATATAGCTATGCCCCAATTCATGCAAAAAGTAGTTCTCTTTAAAGTGACAAAGCATGTAAAATATCTTTGAAATCTGTACACTTCTATTTATGGTGCCCATACTCTTGAGAAATAAAAAGATGAGCACTCCATTTAAAAAATTTCTATTAAATGGTGAGAAGCTGCATGGCAGAGTAGCTAAAGAGCTGGTCTTGGAGTTTAGGAAGATTTGGATTCAAGTCCTTCCTCTGATATGTAGTAGTTTGTGATCATGGTAAGTTATATATGTTGGGGTTTTTTTTCTTCTTTTTCTTTTTGCTAGGCAGTTGGAGTTAAGTGACTTGCCCAGGGTCACATAGCTAGTACGTATTGTGTGTTGTGTGTCTGAGACCGGATTTGAACTCAGGTCCTCCTGACTTCAAGGCCAGATCTCTATCCACTGCGCTACCTAGCTGCCCCTGATCATGGTAAGTTATGGAACTACTGTCCACCTACTGTCCCAGGCAGCTAATTCCTTAAGATTATAAATTGCAGATGAGTTGCCAATCTGCATTGTTGGAGGAGTTTCCACACTGGGAGCTCCTTTCATAGATGAAATCTCAGGCTTAGACCCATTCTCTCCAAATAAAATAAAATAATAAATAAGGCTTCTGACCTTCACCACAGTATTCTGAATTTCAGGGGCAGTGACCAGCTAATCTTCTTTTACATCACCCTCAACTTTGGAGTAGGGAGAAACAAATCACACCTGTTTGAAGTGAAATTTACCCAATCCCCTGTAGACTAGCTCGGCATGCACCTCACTTTACAAGTCTCACTTTGTCACTAAATCTTACTTAGCTGGCTTGAGCACAATTTTATTTTATTCATCTTTTTGGGAAAAAAGACAGTTATTACAGGTAGGATGATTTGTTCATATTAATGTCCTTTAATCACTCAGGGTAGTGTGCAAAACGAAGGATAGGAAGACTGCCTCTTGGCTGATTAAGAATAGGTAATCCTTCTTTGTATTGAGCACTATATTAGGAGGGAACAACAATGATCATCAAATCATACTGGGAAAAGTTAGAGCTGGTACTTAAAACACTGTCAAGTTTACAATCTAACCAGGAAATATTTTACATAGCTTTCTCTTTTTTTTGTGACTGGAAAGTGAAATTATACTTTTTGGAACAAATCCTTACCTTTCCTTTTTTTCCTGTTTTGAGGAGGTAGAGGATTTGCTTTCCTACACAGAATTACCCTAAGTATTTTAGCATCATGCTTCAACTTTTATGTTCACGGTAAAATATCTGAGGCGTAGGGGGTGAGAAGGTTTACGTACATAAAGAAGACTTATGTAGAAGACTGAAATCCTCTTATATTGGCATTTCCCTACTGTTTAACAATGAGATGCATCAGTAAATAATGACTTTACGTATTCCCTTTTGCAGTCAATTCTGTCTTCATTACTGTAGAATTTGAATCCATGAGAAATGGTATATATGATGTTCTCAGAGTAATGTCTGGGGACCCAATGCTGGTTGACCTTTATATAATGCTTACTTGAGTCTTACCACATCTTGTAAAGGTGGTACTTAGTGGTAGCTGTTGTTTTTCTACAGATGAAGAAACTAAAGCTCAGAGAGGTTATATATGTCACACAGCTCACAAGTATCAGAGGTAGAATTCAAACCCAGGGCTTCTAAGTCTAGCCATCTATCCACTGTACCAAATGCTTCTGTATAACTGTAGTCCATAATAGAAGGGTCCTGACAGTTGGAGATCCTGACACCTACAGCACTTTCCTTCCACCTCCACCTATGGAGACAATGTCTAGTGAGATACAGCCGTCAAACCTTTTAACTCTGATGTGTCATCTAAATTTCCTCCCAGAATTTGCCTGAGCCCTGAGCTTAGCTGACTTTGAAAGCTTACCAATGTTATTGATTGTGTATTCCTTTGAAGTTTATGAGTTTATGAAGTTATGAAGTTTATGAGGCAACATTTAAAAACAGAGATTTGGTTGCTGCAGTGACTATGATCAGAACTACAGGAGATAGCAGTGTCTGTGTTCTAATCTTGCTTCAATCACAAGAACTCTGTTCCTTAACTGAACCATTCTGTGTCTTTCCTTTCTGGTTTGTGAAATGGAAATTATACTGGAGCAGATTCATGTACATAAAGCCCTATAGAGAGGCTATGAAAGCCTTTTATTTGTTTGTTTATTAAGAGACAGGCTTTGTTAACAGCTAAGATTATACCTGTATATAACACCAATGGAGCTTTCCTGCCCTCTGCTGGAGAAATACAGATTTAGCGCAACTGTGAACAGCATTTGCATGGAGTTTAAGCAATCATTGTGCCTAATGAGTTATTTGAAGCAAATGAATTTTCTTATATATATAAAAGGAAACAGTGACACATTTTTGGTGGATTTTTTTAAATGATATTTCTGTGGAACCAAAAATATGCAGAAAGCAATTATCTTGAGGAGATTAATGCATTAGAGATGTTAAAATTTGAATGTAACTTATTCCCTAATTGATTCATTTATATTTCGTGTGCTGCTGGTAGGATAACCATAAAACAGAAGATTGAACATTTTTAAGGGAATGAAAGAAGTTAAAAAACTGGAAAGCTTTTTTTCATAGGATTTTCAGGACTAGAAACATTTTCAAGATCATCTTTCTTTTTTTTTTTAAATTTTATTTTATTTAAAAAAAAAAATTTTTTCCATATGCTTTTGAGTTGAAAATTTTTTCTCCCTTTTCCTCCCCCCCCACCCTCCCCAAGACAGCTCACAATCTGACATAGTCTTTACATTTACATACCCATTAAACATATTTTCACATTAGTGAAGTTGTAAGTAAAAATTAAAACCAATAGGAGGAACCATCAGAAAGATGAAACAAAATTCAACTTAAGGTAAAAATAAGTGAGAGCAATTCGACTTCCATAGTTCTTTCTTTGGATGTGGACAGCATTTTCCATCCCGAGGCCTCTGGAGATGTCTTAGATCCTCATAATGCTGAGAAGGGTTCAGTTTAACATTCTTAGTCATTGCATAACGTGGCTGCTATTGTATACAAAGTCCTCTGGGTTCTGCTCACTTCACTCAGTATCAGACCATATAAGTCTTCCCAGGTTTTTCTGAAGTCAGCCTGTTCATCTTTCTTATAGAACAATAGTATTCCATTACATTCATATACCACAACTTGCTCAGCCATTCCCCAATTGATGGGCATCCTCTCAATTTCCAATTTCAAGATCATCTTTCTTACCACTTCATTTTACAGAGGAGGAATTAAGACCCATAGAAGGGGAATAATTTAAACAAGTAATGTTAGCCACTGAAGTAAGAAAATGTCACTTATAAATAATGCTAATGGAGTGTTATGCAAGACCAGATCACCATTGGCCAGGCCTAAATATAGAAAACTGCTAACTGGATTTTTTTTTTTTTACCGATGACTAATGCCAGTTTCTTGAATCTAGTAGCCTATACCTTTGAGTTGTGACATCACTCAGAAATGGGAAAAAGCACAAATGTAACAACTTGTATAAAGCATAAAGGGGAATTGGAAAAAAAAATCCTCTTTGAGCTTATGATGCGATGGTGAATGGAGGTTTAGGTGAGTGAGGATTTCCCCAGTTTTGACTCATCGCCTTCTCCTGTCTGCTGCCTGTGGCTTCCCAGAGAAAAGTGGAAAGGAAGTCAGCCTTTCTTCCCTGGCCTTGCATCCATCAGTTGCTATTGGCCTTGTCTGATAGCCACCTGCAAAGCTGCTTCAGTAGCAGGTTTTATTTCACAGGGGTGCCAGCCTGGGTCGGATGTGGTCTGTCTTCCATATTCACATGGAAATGTGATGACAGACCCAGGAGGTAACAGCAAAAAAAATCAGAGCCAATTAATTATTACCTTTGAGGTACATCTCACGAAAGCCACTCAACTGAATTCAACAAAGAAATGACACTGAATAGCCATTTGTTAAAAACTTGCTTTGTACAGAGCATCACACTTGATGCTAGGAAGGATGTAATTTAGATAAGTTGTCCTGGCCCTCATGACACTTACAGTCTAGTAAAGCAATAAGATCAAGATGGTTAGATGTAAAACAAATGCATGCAATGCTGAATTCCTTATTGTATTATTTCACATGCAAAGAAATTAGCCTCCTTGCTCTTCTGGGCACTGAGGGCAGTGCTCTGAAGATGGGGGCGAGCCTGACCACCTTGTTGCCCTCTGCATATTTGGTTTGGTTTGTTGCTGATACCAAAGTAATTTTAACATCTCCACATGACAACCTTTGCAAAGTTTTCATTGTTGTACTTCATGGCCAGGGCTGCTAGATTCTCTTGGGGTTTGATTATTATTATTTTTTTAGTCTTTTGCTTTCCAAGTGTGCGGGGGAGGGGGAGAGGGGGAGCTTGGTTTGCTTTTTAACCCTGTAAGGCTTTATTATTTAAAATAATAAGAATGTGGAAACAAGTAAAAATTATGGTTTTTTCTCTCATATCTTTCCTCCCTCCCTCCAAATAAATAAGCTGTGATAGGTTTTATTTGTTTTTTGTATTGCTGATTTGTGATGCGGGGATTGAAATGGAAAAAAAGTTGGATAAATACATATGGTGTATAACCACTATGCTGGAATTTTTCCATGCATAAACCTAGGCACCTTGTGTTGCAGAAATATATAGGAAACAATGGTGGAGGAGCCTGGTTATTTATTTTGAAATAAAAATGAATGTTGGCAAACTCTAAGGCAAATTACTGGATTCTAATGCACAGGCGATTTTGCAAATCATTGGGTAAGCATTTACCTTTGTTACCAGAGACTCAGACATTCCCCATTTGGATTCTGCAACTTTGGTACTTCTTTGTTAATTTCTCCAGTGACTTGCCAGTGTAGACCACAGAGACCCACAGCAGCCATTAGCTAATGTATGTTAACCCTCCCATGTAGTATGTTAACATTTGTATAGAACTTTAAGGTTTATAAAATGTGTGTATTCTCTCTCTCCCTGACTCCTTTCCCCCTTCCCTACCAACTCTGTGAGGTAGGTGGTATAACCATTATTATTCACTCTTTTCAAATAAGGAAACTGCAGTTCGTAGTTCTTAAGTGACATGCCCACAGTCACAAAGCAAGGAATTGCCATGGCCGGGGTTTGAATGCAGGTGTTCTGACTCCCAAGTCCAGCATTCTTTTTAGTCCAGACTGCCTGGTTATATAGTTGCATTGTACCAGAGGCCTTCTGTTGACAGGGCCTTGACTACAAGTTTCCTTACCCTTAAAAGGGCCCTTTCCCCAGCCGATTCGACTAGATTTTGGGCTGCCATGGTTGGGAAGGTGCCCCATGTTACAGAAAACTC